CCCCCCCCCCCCCCCCCCCCCCCAAGTAGTGTCTGTCTCTAGGGCAGCCAGGTTCTATTCCAGTTTTGTGGAATAGTCTGAAATGGTCTCATAGTAACTCAAAAGTGTATCATAGCTCTAAACAGGGTTGGAATAGTAACAGGGGGTACCCTGAATCACAGGTGATAGCAACAGGGAGGTATCCTGAATCACAGAAATGCACTCACCAGCCTTTCTTTTCCTCTTCACTCTTGCTGGGATAGGTGTGGTATGGTGCTGTGCCAACTTGATACTCCCCTCGGGGCCAGAGTAATCCAAAAACATGAAGTTAATTTGGTGTTTTGACTGTTTTGCAGGTACCCTTTTTTGTTTTTCTTTTGCATGTCTGAGCTCTTAAGCACTACTTCTTATTGCTAGTCTAGAAGAAACTATATATGTATTGAGAGGGGCTGGCTTCAGTGGCCATGTGTATTATAGGAGATTAAGAAGCTTTGGGCCTTCACTTCTTTTTCTTTAAGCAGTGGATTTTTGTTTTGGGCTGTGTTGATAGTTCTTTTAATTTTTGGTATGCTTGTTTCTCATAATGTTAGACGTGTTTTTGCATGCTCTTCAATTCTTATATTCTTCAGATATTAACCTAAAAAAAAAGCAAAGTTTAGATTTTATTCCTAGCTGAGTTTAATTTCCATGGTGGAAACTGTTATCTAAATATAATTTTAATTATTTAATATTTGTATACTTACATTCATGTTTATTTATTCAAGTACAAGCGCGTTGTGGTTAAGCCTCCCCATTTTCTACTTGTGTGTGTTAACCATGGCTTACAAATGATGACTAGTCATAGTTATAATAAGGAGCTATAATGCTTTGATAATAGGTTTTACAAATTGTGGCTGTCCTTCCGATGCAGTTGGTATTTAATTCTTAGTAGCATAGTTATTTGTAGGTTCATCTATTCCTTTATCCTCTCTTTTGGTAGAAAATAGATTTTACCTATTTGTGATGTTGCGTTTGTTAGATATGCTCATAGTAAAGCTCTGTTTGATGTAAAGTGATACAGTACTGATCCCCGAAGAAAATGTTGTTCATAACTTTAAAATAATTCTATGTTCACTTTAGTTCACAGGATCTCTTCCCTAGCTTAATTTCCATTGAGCTCTAGAAAAAGTATTTAAACTATCACTTGTGCATACTTTTTCAAAAAGTGTTGAGGGGAAGGCACAGGTATTTTTAAAAAATCTTAATGACTTGTATATATGAAGTTGCTGGCTGCCAATATAATGCTCTTCCATTACTCTTCAGATGCTAGTGTTGAGGGAATGTCTGAAATTATTCCACCCCCACTTCTTTTCAGCTAGCTGTAAAGCACAGAATCATGGATATTGTGGGGTTTTGTTTTGGGGTTTTTTGTAGTTTTTTTTTAACTTGGAACAGATCCAGTACTATTTCATATGACAGTAGGGAAGAGCACCTTGCAGGAAACTGATCTCTTCATTGATGGCCAAATTGGAGTCCCCCTCTTCTCATCTGTATCTTTGGCTATTGAATAGCTGGTGCTGAAAGTCGCACATGCATATGTGTGTGCATGCGTGCATGTTCTCCAAGCTTATTTTATATACCACCAGACTTAATCAGATATGGTTTCCTATGGTAGCTGGGGATTGACCCTGATGATTTCAGAAGCTTTTTCTTGTCTGGTGTTCCTTTATCTCTAAAACTAATTGTCATGTATAATTTAATTATTTAAATACAGATACTTGGTATTTAAATACGGATGTTCATGTTGCAGTTTCTGCATAGAAATAACCCGAGCTGGCCCTAAGTTGGCTACCTAGCTTGAGTATTGACAGCAAGTTGGCCCTGATAACACCAAATAAGGGATTTTTGCTTGAGTATTTACTCCTATGCTCAGGCAGTTTTTCAATCTCTGCTCAGTTCTGTTCTATACTTCAGTCACAGCAGCAAGTGTAGCAATGACTTACTCTCAGTGCATATAGTGAACTTCACTCAGATCTGGTTTGTGGACTAAAATTAGGGGTATGAATGATGGGAACTGTTATTGATGACACTTTCTTTGAGTGTACTTTTGTTAGGAGGGCATGAATCTCTTGGTGGTCCAAACTTTGCTTGAACTAGTCACGGTTTTTGTTGATCAGAGTGTGGTATAGCCAATTGACTGTTTTTATCATTGGCCTGGTAGAACAATATAACTATCCTTTGTAGCAAAAACTGATGGCAGGTGCATGTAAATATGCTTACTAATTGATGGCGAGTAACAAATGGTTAGGAAGGAATGTGGCTAGGGCATTTATAGCAGAAATCTTGAACTGAATCTGATCAATTTAGCATAATGTAAACTTCGGAGTTACACCAAATGGTGTGACGAAATGCCCGAGTCTTGTCACAGTAGTCTCCCTTTAATCTGGTCCTGTTATTCCAGGTAAACATCCCCCGCCCCCGTCCCTGGCTTAATGCAGCTGCAAAGTTAGTGTTGAGAAGAAAGTTATTCTGAGCTGTCATATTTTAATTTGATAATTTTAATATGTTTGTCATGGGTAGAAAAACACAAATCTTTATCTCTGGATCTTACAGCTAACTATAAGGAAGCATTTGGGCAAATGATGTGTTTACTGTAATATGCAATATGGAGTGGAGGCTAAGGTGACTGGAAGTCCTAATGTTTAAGGGGAGGCAGTTTGGGACAATAGTAGTTAATAGCATTAATGTAAACAAAACATCCCACATGTGGCTGTGCATGGCCAGCAATGTAGACATTCGTTTTGAACCACGAGTGTACAGGTATTCAGGCTTTTTCACCCAGGGTAAAAAGGGCCACTCAAGGAAAAATAACCTGGGAACAACCAGGGCAAACCCAGGAGAGTTTCTCCTTGGAGAGTGAATGTCTGTACATGCCAAAAGCCTCTCTTGATTTGTTCTTGCACTTAATATTACTACCAGTTTGGTTTTTTTTTCCTGTAAGGTACTGCAGTTTTTATGTAAATAAATTGGAAACCAACAGTAATTCTTTGACTTTTTTTTCCCCCCCCCATCCCAAATGTGTGTACCTTATCTTTATGTAGTGACTTCTTGTTAATCTTTTGGATACTGAATGCTTGGTTTGTTTCCCTGCTTATAAATTTATCCATATAACGCGTTGGGTTTTATTTTTTTTCCCCTCCACAGGATACATATGGACTGAAAGATCACTGATTACTACAATGGAAAAGTCATGGATGCTTTGGACCTTTATTGAAAGGTGGCTGCTAGCTTTGGCTTCATGGTCTTGGGGTCTCTGCCGTATTTCTCTCTTACCTTTGATAGTAACTTTTCATTTGTATGGAGGTATTACATTACTTATGTTAATATTTGTATCAATAGCAGGTATACTATATAAATTCCAGGATGTACTACTTTACTTCCCTGAGCAGCCCTCTTCATCACGTCTTTATGTTCCTATGCCTACTGGTATACCACATGAAAACATCTTCATCAAAACCAAAGATGGAGTTCTTCTCAATCTTATTCTGCTGAGATATACTGGAGACAATGCAGCATATTCTCCTACTATCATTTATTTTCATGGAAATGCAGGCAACATTGGTCACAGGTTACCAAATGCTTTGCTGATGCTGGTAAACCTGAAAGTAAACTTATTGCTGGTTGATTATAGAGGTTATGGGAAAAGTGAAGGAGAAGCAAGTGAAGAAGGTCTCTACTTAGATTCTGAGGCTGTACTAGACTATGTGATGACTAGGTCTGATCTTGATAAAACAAAAATCTTTCTCTTTGGCCGTTCCTTAGGGGGAGCAGTGGCTGTTCACTTAGCTTCTGAAAATTCCCATAGAATTTCTGCCATAATGGTGGAGAACACGTTCCTTAGCATCCCACACATGGCCAGCACTTTGTTTTCTTTCTTTCCAATGAGGTATCTTCCTTTGTGGTGCTACAAAAATAAATTCCTGTCATACAGAAAAATCTCTCAGTGCAGAATGCCTTCTCTTTTCATCTCTGGGCTGTCTGACCAGTTAATTCCTCCAGTTATGATGAAGCAGCTTTACGAATTATCCCCGGCTCGGACTAAGAGATTGGCAATTTTTCCAGATGGAACTCATAATGACACTTGGCAGTGCCAGGGTTATTTCACTGCACTTGAACAGTTCATCAAAGAAGTTATAAAGAGTCATTCCCCTGAAGAAATGGCAAAAACATCGTCTAACGTAACAATAATATAATCGATATTCTTTTTTCTGATTAAATTGCACTGTACCTTGATTTGTGAAAAGTGGTAAAAGAATGTCCATTTTTAAATGTATATTATGTCTGTACTTGCCTAATGAGCAGAATTAAACTTGGAAAGGTCTAATACTTTATTATGACGTTCCAGGTAGTTTTTATATTTTGCAACATTGTAAGTGAGTGAACATTTCTACATGTCTTTCCCATACCTTTTTATATGTTTGTTCATATCTTCCATTTGTTCAGGATATACAATGGAAGCTATTACAATTTTGTTACTACATTAGTACAAATTACATTAGGTTGAGATAACAGGAGGCTCTTCAGTATTCTCTGCTCTGTGTATCGGCTGATTGGACAATCATGGTTAGCAAAATATGTTCTGTAACATTTCTAAGATTTACCTTAAGTATACCATGCATGGTAGTGTGTTATTCCTTGCGTTGTTATCGAAGATGAAGACTTTTAATGTGCTAAGTAATGTAAATAGCATTCATGATAGAGAAATAATTCAGGATCGTATATGCATAAGTATAATCTATTTTTATGATGATATATATTACAAATCGGGTCAAGAAGAAAAGCTACTTTTCCTATATTCATTTCAGTATTTCTATTTTAGTAGCATCTATAAAGTTATACCAGTTACACAGAGGCAGATAGTTTGTTCAGAATAGTTTGCATTCAGAAAAAGAAAACTGGCAAAAAAGGGATAAAATATACAATCCAGGTATGACTTGCTAAACTGACTGTTCCCACTTCTCCTTAACCATTGTTAGTTGAATGTGCTTCTGATTGACATTATATACAGCATCAGATCAGTTCAGGTATGGGTGCCTAGAGTGGAAGGAAAAATACTAGGGAGAGCAATGCTAGCTATGGAAGAAGTAGAAATATGCTTTTGGTTGACTTTTAAAAGTAAGCGAACTTAAAAATTACATCTGTGCCCTTCACCTCCATCTCTAAAAGAAGCTATATAAAGTACATTTTTAGTTTTAATTTACCATTATTACCCATACCATAGCAACAGTGTAAATAAGCATTGAACAAACCCTAGCTTGTTAAAGTCTAGAAAACAGACAGCTTTTATTTTTAATACTTGAGTCACTTGTTTTCCTAAATTATCTAAATGCTACCAGACAGTGTGCATGCAGATTGTATCCTCAACACAAATGTGAATTGCTTTAGCTATATTAAGAGTCAGTGCTAATAGTAACCACTCTTATTGTCAACAATATTGAATCATGAAGTGAGAGAGCCTGATTATGACCACAGAGTGTGAGGATCCTTACAAAACAAATGCACCAAAGCCATCTCTCCAGTTTGGTTAACTTTTACTAGTGCATATGTATAAATCCCTTACTTAGTTTAGCTGCAGCAAGTAATTAAATCAATTTGCTTGGTCAAAAATAGTTTAATGGAAGAAAAATATGTATGGAAAAAGGATTTTTTTTTTTTCATGCTAAAATACAATGGCTCATAAGGGTGAATTCTCTAAATTTAGCCTTTTTGTTATTACAGGTAAGCCCTCATTCAGAAAAGCACTTCATCACATGTTTAATTTTGTCCTAATTTAAGCCTGTGCTTAAATTCTGTTGACATCAGTAAATAAAGCTGCTTTCCTGAAAAGGTGCTCTATGACTAGAAGTACAAGTACCACACATGCTTGGATATATAATTAACAGAGGGGAAAAAATACTGACTGTAGAAGTAAAATATCTCTGTAATACAGAGTAGTGGTAGTGTTGGAGTGATGATCCAGGAAATATACATCATGCAGGGATAACACCCACAAAGATCCTTGCCCTTCTGTTCCAGAGTAACTTTCAGAAGTATTCCTTCCTGGGTTTTAAACAAAGGTGTGTGGTGTCTTATATTGTTGCCATCTACCTGGTAAGTATTTTTTTTTCTTCTGTAGTGATGCAGCCAAGAGCCCTTACAATTCCTTGAGTAACCATGAACATATTTATACATTTTCTTTGGCTGCAGTTTGATTTGGCTCTATTTTCTGACTTCCTTGTGGTATCCTGCTCTTTCAGTGTTGTGTGGCATGCCTTTTTTTCTCTTTCTCCTGTATTATGTAGAAATAGCAAACAGTTGCACAGAAAAAGGTTTTGATGCATCATAACATTCATTTTACTGGTGTATTCTAATAGTCACAACACATAGTTCTTACACCTTGTTGCTCTTCCCCCTGAACCATCTAGATTTGAACCTAAGTAAAGCCCAAGAGAAAGTAAAATGAATATATTGTAGCCACTTAAGTGGACAAGCATTGCTATCCTGCTTTTTAGCAGTAGAACTGACCATGCAGTTTATTATTCATGAAAAGGTATAAATTCAGCTCAGTAAATAGTTGTTTCAAGAGCTATTGTGATTTTCAGTTAAATGATTATGCTCAGCATAAAATATGGGTTTACAAGGCAGAAGCTGAACTCTAACATGAGACGGTTGGCTTTTGTTTTCTTCTTCCCCCTCAGTATAAACTGACGCTGCAAAGGGCTCTTTATGCTTTCGTTGTATGGGTAGTACCTAGATGGGCCTTTAATTGTCAGAGCAGTTTTTGTGCATAGGAGTTTGGTTGGGAGAAAGAAAACCAAGATTTATGACCATTTAGACCTGTTCATGCCATGCACTTTCTCTATACAATCCTTGGTCCCCAAGCCCTACCTTCTCACCTTAGTGTCTGTAGGATTTCCAGTAGTAAAACCGAAAGCCTGCATGTTGTTGTGAATATATAGGCATAAGAACATATCCTATATGCATAGGGTTATTACACTGAGGAGCAAGATACTCACCAGCACCACACACTAATTTTCCCTCCTTTGTTGTGTCTTAGAGGTGGCATTAGTGGTCGCATTGAACAGCATGGATGAAAAATTAAATTTTAGTAAGAGTGCAACCATAGGCTTTGAAATCTCTGGGAAGGGAGATGGAGAGCATATAAACCAGTGTTATTAATGTTTCTGTAACGTTGTAAATAGTATTTCTGTTGGTAGCACAGTGGGGAATTAGTCTTTTTTTTATTTTTGCCAGGAATCCTTTCCAGCTGGAACATCAGTCTGTGACAAGTGAAGGGTATTGTCTGCACATACACACTTTCAAACTTTACAGTAACAAGTTATTTACTAGTGACTTTCAAGTTTAAGCAGCAGCTATTATGGATAGTTGTTTAGAAGACTGAATAATATGTTAAAACTGCCAAGAGTCAGATTAATGGTTAGCTATGTTAATTGAAAAATGCAATAGGAATTAGACAGCTTAATAATCTGTGCCAGCTTTCATTTGTATAAAACAGTGGGACCCAACCTTTTTGGCTGGCATGTCTCTAGGTAAGCTCTACACTCCTCCCAAGTGCCATGCCACTCCCCTTCCCCCGCTTAGCCTGTTGTGCTGCTTTGTTTCCTGCCCTATTTGTCCCTGTGCTTGCTACCCCCTCTCTGATATGCCATATGCCACACACACAAGCTGCCTCATGCCATTTATGGCACTTGTGCTGCAGGGTGGCCACCATCGGATAGAATATACCATCTTAGGGAAAAATACAAAAGAGTATGTGTTTAACTATGAGAAGTATGAATTATGCGTATGTTTGAGAAGTGAGGACCATGATTACAGGATTTACACAGTCACTTTTGGGTTTAAAAGTAGGGATGGTGTCAGTCTTTTATAAAAGGTTTATGATAGATTTCAAATGAATTGGACAAAGTAGAATAACTGCTAATAGAGTCTTTGTGAAAAATTACCCAGTGCACAAGCACTTTTTCCTTTTTGCTCTAATCTGTGGAAACACTTATGACTGTCTACTGATCCATGTTTACACTTTCCCAGCCCCAAATTTTGAAACTGTGAAACACAAAAATAAGCTGGAATTTTAAATAAGGAAAAAACGACTAATGTAGCTGCCCTTATGTCCGTTCTCAGGTAAAATTATGAGTAATATAGCACAAATGTATTTGACACTTGATATTTGTGGACAATCTCCCAGTTGTAAAGGTAGATATATATTTAGCGGGATGAATTAATCTATATAGTATGAAATAATATGCATGTCAGCATCTCCTGGCTAATTAGTGATGTCAACCTTGGGTGCTCTGTGGTGACAAACCAGGCTGAATTTTTGAACCCCTCAAATCCCAAGACATGGCATTTGAAATTAGCAGAGATGTACCTATATCTCCATTCATATTTCACTTCACCACTTTTTTTTTTAATGTGCAACTTGTGCAAGAGGCACTTTTGCCAAAAATAATACCAGTGCCTCCTGCACATGGCAGGCTCAAACAAGGATTAGTATGTCCTGTTGACAGTAAGTTTTATAATATTGTCCAGTCTATATAGTTTACAATAGAACCATGCAGAAGTATAAAGTATATGCAAGAATCATATTCAGTATTTAAATAAAACACATATTTCAAATTCAGAATTAGTCTCAGAATGTTCAAGTGATGCATTTTCTTCTGTGTTTTTTTTTTTCTTTATTCAGTTCAAGTAGGAGTTTCTTTTAAAGAACTTTTAATTCTATATTTTGTAAACTAAGCATAAATGTTGCAGTATATGTGCTAACCATGGCAGTTTTTACGAACACTTTCATTCTATTCTGGTTTTTACAATACAATTGATTTTACAAAACACATTTTCTATTTTTATGTACTGACATATGCAATAAATTGATACATTAAAAGTGCTACTAATGTCTTGTTCCTATTTGTTTGACCTGTCTTCAGTATGAATGTAGTCTTCTGATTGTATGGTAACTGCTGTATGTTTAACAGGCAGAGATTTTGAAATGATTCACTGAATAAGTCAGTGTACCTAGAGGATAGAGGCTGCCCATGTTAGATGCCAGATTCTTGAAAAGCCTCTGTTACTTCAGAGGAAGATAGTAAATCAGTTACTAAATTATTGACATTGATTCCTGAACCTAATAACTTGGCCTCCCTCTCTGAAAGTAACAGTATTGAATCTAGACTTGGCCATCCATTGCACCTTATTACATTTGCAAAAAGATTCAGTGCAGGCATCTTCAACCCCCAGCACATATGCCAGACCATGGTATGAGGCCAGTTTGCTCAGCATGCCATAGCCAGCCCACTCTGGGCAGCTGGTGCCAGCCATAGAGTCTGGGCTGCTCACAGTCAGACAGTGGGGAGGTCCCAAGCCCTGCTGCAAGCAGCCTGGGCTCTATGGCTGACAGCAGCTGCCCAGAGCCCTGGCCAGCTATGGCAGGGAAATGGGAGGCTGCAAACAGCTGCACCAGGCTCCAGGACTCTTGGCTGAGTTCTGGGGCAGTGCAGCTGCACACAAACCTCATGGCAAACGGTAGGGAAGGGCTAGGGTTATGCTGCTCTAGGCCCCTCCCTCACCGTCAACCCAGTGTCACACGTGCACCCACCACCAGCCTGGAGCTGGTGCTGAGGCTCTGGAGCCTGATGCAACTGTTTGCAGCCTCGCAGCTGTCTGCCATAGCCAGCCTGAGCTCTAGGCAGCTGCAGCAGGCAGGCTGCAAATAGCTACCCGGCTCGAGGCTGGGGGAACTGCGCTTGTGATCTAAGTCACAGGGTAGGGAAGGGGCCGAGGCAGCGCAACCCTGGCCCGCTCCCTCACGGTTCACCCAGAGGCACGTGTGCAGCTGCTGCCAGCAATGAGGATCAGGCTGTGACCCCCTCCCCCCAGTCTGCCCCAGCATGCCAAATCGAGGCATGGGGTATGTTTGGTGTTCCAGCCAAAATGGTTATCAACCTCTGATTTAGGCCGTCTCCATCTTACCCAGAGGACTGAGACCTGTTGGAATACTTTGCTGCTTGAACTGGTTTGAAAATGAGGTGAAAATACAAAGCCAATGTAAAAACCTCTTAAGTCACCTTTGGAGTAAGCATCCTGAGACCAGTTAAAAATGTGTTAGTCATATACCTGGTCTTATCTAGGCTTTTCTTGTTCTTAATGTGTTCTCAGAACTATGATATTGTAGAGCAGAGAGTGGTAGTTTACCTTGCTTCAAGCTAACATGGCTAAGATGAACCTTAGGCATCTCTGTTCCAGTTCACCTATATGCTTTTGTGAACAAGAGCTCACTTCATCTTTTGTGTTTAAATCACTGTTTATTTTATAGCCTGCTCTGCATATATCCGTTCATAGTATCTTGCCCACGAAAGCTTATACATTTCTTATTCAATTAGCCTTTACTTAGCAGTTTACCTTTCTCTCAGTCTTCTTTGTATCAGGCTAGCCTCAAGGTACATCTCAAGGTACATCTGGCTGCCTATACTATCATTGGTAAGCCACTAAGTTCAGAAAAAGTGACTAACAGTTAATTTTGTTCATTGCAACTATTTAGTGATAGAGTTTTTTTTTCTTTTTTCTCTACACTTAATAAATTTGATGCTTTTCTCTCCTGATTCACAAAACTGGTCATAGTACTACTTTCACCCATTTCTCTTCATACCTAGAGAGAGTTCATCTAAATGTATGTACTATTAGCACAGAACAGTAAACTCCGGTGCATACTGTACCAGGAGTTTATTGCTCTTGGGCACCGTGTCTTCATGTGCATCTGGGACCGCAGCATGTTAAGCCGGGTCAGAGCAGCCCTGGCTGGCAGGGGACCCTGGGGATCAGCCTGCCAGCCCAAGGGCTGCTCCAACCTGGCTCAACGTGCTGCAGAGGGGTTTGCTGAGGCATGAGGGTGTTCCAGTGTAGGGCTAGCTGGCAGACAGCCCTTCACTGAAGCACTCTCATGCCCCAGCCAGCCCCATCAGTGTGTTCACATGTGTTGCTGTGCACTAAAGAATGCCGCAGCAGGACAATACTTGTATTTACAAGTACTAACCCTTGGCAGAGTTCATTAGTTTTCTGCGGTCTAATAGGACCTCATATGTAGACGCTGAGATGTTCAGGCAGCTCCACAGTAAATGTCTCATGTCGATGTGCTCACGGAGAACAAACTTGAAACCTGCTGTTGGAGCTTCCAAAATTCTCATCCGTTTAGTTCTAAGGTAAACAACTATAAAAGTAAAATGAAAGGATAAATGCAAAGAAGAGCTGTGTCACTTATAAAACTTTGTACCTGAATGCACAATACTGCTGTGAATGTTCCTCATGCACACAGGTAATGTAAATAGCTACTGCCCTGAAGAACTAGGTCTAATTTTTGAAAGGTAGTTAAATACACTTAATTACTAGACAATTGATTTTATCAAGTACAGAATAAAAGGCACTTGGATTGCTTGACATAAAAAACCTGGATGGAATGAAACTATACATCATAGTTCATAAAAGCCATTTACCGTAATATTTAAATACTGAATACTTTTAAAATATAAAAATAGTGGGATAGGTTGTAAAAGTTCTTATTAAATGTATACAAATGTGTGCTTTCAGTACTACTACACTAAATTATATATCGCACGCATGCAGTGTGTGTATACAATATATGTAGTGCAATGTGATAAACAGACCGATAAAATGTATTTATATATAGATGGCACAAATTAAGTCAACAGAAACATTAGATAAAAGGAATATAATATTTGCACTACATGAATTCGGAGGAGGCTGCACTATTGAGAAGTCAAAACAAGGGTGAGGAGCTGCCTGTCTGAATAAGGCATAGTCGGAAACCATGAGTTTGAGTATTTCTCAAAACCTTTTCTCTGTTCAGTAGAAAAACCTGTTGACAGTATCAATAATTGTGGTTATGTCTGTCTTGTGCATTCAAAATATCTGGGCATGTCATCTGGTTTGCTTTTTCAGGTAGTTTAATTATAACTAAAATGAAACAGCATTGATTAAACAGCGTAAGACTGGGATGTTTAATATTTGAAACTTGAAGTATTGTGTTGACAGTGTTACATACAGGTCATGAATATGTTGTCTGTCCCCCACCCCCCTTCAAGTATTTTATAACTACGCTAAAGCCCCTGGCAGGTGTGAAAATAAGGGCACAACTGGGATCTGAGGAATTTCATGCCCCATCCCAAACATCATGTGTCCTGCTATGCACATCTGATGCTTGGGATAAAGCATAACAATTCTTAATCCAAATCATGCAACTGCGAAGGCCATATTGGCACCTGAGGCACTGTCCAGCCTGATTCCAGGGATCAAGCACGGGGCAGCTCTATCCTGGATTAACACATATTGTAATATTTGCCAGGGCCGTAGGAGTGGCTTTTAATCAGGGGAAGGAAGCACTTTTTGGAGTTAGGGAATTCTAGGTCATGGAATTCATTGCAAATGAATGTTGAAAATATCTTTATCATTTTGTTTATGTTGAATATGGTTAAAAATGTAAATCCCAGTACCTTAAAAATTGGTACCTAGTCATAAGGACCAGGATTTTTAAGAGGTACTAATTGGTCTCCGATATTAATTATTCAGTGTGAGGAACTGTTTGAAGGGTTTTGTTTTCTCTCGAGTCTTCCTAAAAGACTCTTTAAACGTTTTAAGTTAGGAATCCCAAATAACTAGTTGCATCAGAAAATCTTGGAAATAGCTTCTTTTTTTTTTTTTCTTTGAATCTAATTTCATATGATATGGCAACATGATTATATGCCATTAGTAAATGGAAGTATAAAAATGTGTGTGCACACTGACATGGGAGAAGTTTACTTTTCTGTCAGCCTCAGGCTGTGCGTGGGTGTATGTCATGAGGTTTTTTGTGTATTTAGGCATTTTGGCACTTGTGTATTCATGTTTAGGATTTGCAGGCTTTCTTTTGAATAAAAACCCTAGTGTTACACCCCAAGAAAGTGCAAGCTTTCAAAAGTAGGAAGATAAATAATTTGTGCAATGACATCATTGCATTATGTTCAATGTCCTAGATAAATACTGCCTCTCAATTCAGGAAGCAGCAAAGGAACTAACTCCACCTGCTGTCTTGGACAGGCAAAGACTGTTTTATCTTCCAGCTCACTGTGCCAACCATTTACAAAATTTGAAAGTGAAAGGCAACACAGAGGCAGTCAACTTCTGCTCCACATCGACTCAGCAGCAGTGTATAGAAAGATCTGGCTCAGCAGCAGTGTATAGAAAGATCTGGCTGTGAGTATATAATGTTATGCCTTGGCACTACTGAGACCTATGCTCCCTGCTGCTAATGGGTTTGTATGAGTACTTTGGCCTATGAGATTGGGAGACCATCTGCTTCCAGATGGCACAGGAGGGCTTCAGGTTTATATCACGTTATCAACTCATTTTTAGCTCAGCAGTGCTGAAAGTCTAAGAGAAATGCAACCATATTTTTTTTTATGCTGTTGAGTATGAAACTACTCATAATTCAGGCCATGATAAGCTTTGTGTTGTCCAGCTCAAGCCAAATGGACTTAGGGGTTTCCTTTAAATGGAAACTTCCAAAATATAAATCTGCTCAAATGTCTCTGATTGTTTTACTTTCTGTTTGTAACCTGCTTCCCCTGTGCCCCTGCCTCCTGCCAATCCCCCTTCCTCCCCAGTTTTCAATATTACAGTCTTTTTCTAATGTCTCCTCTTTCTGTTCTATTCTCTGCCTTCTCTTTCAATCCATTCTAATAGCCACATTTACCAAGCATTCAATGGGCTAGTAGATGCAGGTTGTCCATCAATTTGCTTTGTATACTGGAGTGAATAACAAGGTATAGTCCTGCATTTGCAGGAGAAGAGGTTCTGAGAAAACTGCTACTGCAATCAGCCTGAATAGAACTAAGTGCTATGCCTTTTATGAAGGAGGTAAGTGGGATACTAGAATCTATGTTGGAAAGAAGGAAAAACAAAGGGGAATAGAATAGCATTACACAAAGTACAGCAGAGAAGCCAGGAAACCACATTTTACTGTCCAAAAAGAAATGCATATTCAGTATTGATCCTGATTTTTATAGAATTTGGTACAAAATTTCTTATCACTTTGAATTAGGAAGTTGTATGCTCTTTTTGAACCTGGCTATGTTATGAGTTCTTTTTTGCTATATTACTCTCTCTAAATGCTACCAAAATGGGTGGCTCCTTTACACTTCTTATTCTTCAGTTATCTACAATGTACTGTGCCTAGTCCTGTGTCAAAAGTATTGGAGAGGCAGGGTGAAAAAGATATAATTTATATATGTGTATTAACCTGATAATTTAAATAAAAAATTAAAATATATATTTTTATTTTAAACAAATACTATATTACATGCTTTTGCCGAAAACATATGGGCAGCACTCCACTCACTGCCAGCATTAAGGTTATTGATTTAAAAAATGAACATATGCAAAATGCACAGCCAAGATGGCTCTATTTGGAGTTTCATCGTTATGCCAGGTCCTGCGTGAGTTGGGGACTTCCTGAATTGTGTATCATGTGGGCAGTTGCTAATGATTGAAGGTGCTATGAATCACCTTAGCAGAAATGTGCACTTTGTCTCAGAATACTCTGCATATGCCTCTTAAGTAGGAGCAAAGCAAATATAACCTCTTTTCTTTATGGGAAACGAATGTATCAGATATGGACAGAAGCTGATAGCCCACTTTGGAAATAGAGGCATCCCAAGAGAGTACTTGGAATAACCTATTTGGTAAGATGAATACTCACTTTTCTAATCCCTCCCCTGGTATCTCTGCTGCTTTGTGCCATCTTGTGCACCCAGGTAGGCCAGGCTGGCTTTACACCCTTATAGAGGAACCCATGCTGTATTGTATTACTTAATGTCTATTAATCCTTCTACTTATGGAGTACAACTGTAGCCTGGCTTGGACTTAAGTGAATGCCTAATCTACATAATAGCGTTCACATGTCGTCCCCCGTCCCCCCCCCGCTTTTTTAAATAAATATTTTTCAAATTTGTTTTTAAACTCTTGGGGCGCATCCAGGTGAGTGCACACGTGCATCTTGTAGCGTCTCAAACTCCTTTGAAATGCTGCAAGAGGCATGTGCGGGAACAAGAAAACATTCCCTGTGCTGCAAATTTGCAGCGCAGGGGCAAAATTAGACCCCTGGATATCCAGGGGTCAAAAAAACCTGCAGCGGAACAAAGTGGGGCAGGGCATGGTCCTGGGCTGTACCCTGAGGCAACTGAAGGCTGGGTCCTACACAGAGATGCTCTGTTAGCAGCCAGAACATCTCTATGGCTGGCCCTCACCCTGGTGCTGAAGCACGCTGCCTGCCCATGCTGGGGTGGAGGGGCAGGCATCAGGGGCCTGGGGGTGCAAGCAGGGGATGGGGCCAGGCCATGCGGGGGTTTTGGGGGAGCAGGTGGGGCTGGGTGGGGCAGCCATTGGGGGGCTGCAGGCAACTGGGGGGGATGGGGCCAGGAGGGGGTGGGGTGTGGGGCAAGTGGGGATGGGGCCAGGTGGAGCAGCAATCCAAGGGGCTGGGGGAGCAACTGGGGGGTGGGGCATGTGGGCCCTGCAGGGGAAGTAGCCGCTGCAGGAGCCATTTGGCCCCTGTGGGGGGACTGTGGCCCCTGTGGGGGGCAACAAAACATATAGGTATTTACGGAACAAAGTGGGGCAGGGCATGGTCCTGGGCTGTACCCTGAGGCAACTGAAGGCTGGGTCCTACACAGAGATGCTCTGTTAGCAGCCAGAACATCTCTATGGCTGGCCCTCACCCTGGTGCTGAAGCACGCTGCCTGCCCATGCTGGGGTGGAGGGGCAGGCATCAGGGGCCTGGGGGTGCAAGCAGGGGATGGGGCCAGGCCATGCGGGGGTTTTGGGGGAGCAGGTGGGGCTGGGTGGGGCAACAAAACATATAGGTATTTAGAATTCATTTTATTCTGATGATAGAGACACTGGTAAGCTTCCAAATTGCTTTAACACTTTAGATATATCAATAAAACATTGCCCAACTGATCTCTGTCTCTCACTCTATATAGTTGTCGTTTGTTTTAATTGTGGAGGAACATGGATTTCAGGGTATTTTACAGAGTGACTTTGGGATTTTTTTATCAGGGATTTTTCAGTTTCCCAATAGGGAACACCAGAATTCCTGCTAGGGAGGGCAGTGGCAGGACCCTACCTGCTCAGAGCTGAAACCTTGGACCCAGATGGAGGTAGCTGACCTCCTGGCCATTTGGGGTCAGAAGGATATGCTTTGACAGTTCAGAGCAGGCCACCATGCTGGGAACATCTTCCAGGTGATACATGCCCAGATGGCCAGGTAGAGGGCACACATGGTAGTAGTGCCGCGCAAAGGCCATCCCTGCAGCCACAGCCCACTGGCAGCTGGCCCAGAGGCACAACTGCCCCGACTTGGTGTGA